ATTCGATATCGATTCTCAAAAGCTGCGAATCGATCTTTTCCAGTATATATTTCAGCACACATTTAAAACAAGATCTGATTAACGTGAATCTTATCATTAGTCTTCTCCACTAGATGTCACCCTTATTTACCTTGCGCGATGTTACAACAGAAATCCTGTCATTCATTCAGCACTTATCATGGCCATACGCGCGATTCGCAATGCTCAGGGGAAATGCTATAGTAATACTATAAATCTGTGGAAGCATTTGATATCACGCATAAGGCGCCATGATTTCCGCAATGAATGAATGGCGGATGGCGCGGCGCACTTTTTTGTTTACTACACGCATACTAAAGCGCGGATGACGCTCGCGGTGTTTTCAGCTTCTGCCGTCTCACTATATGATGATATGAACACGAATGTCATCTCCAGCTGCTCTGAGAGTCACTTGATTAGCATTTTACCGTTTCATTTGAGAAATCTACCGTTATATCACATACCACAGCAGCTGGAAGTTCTTCATGGCAACCCGTCAAAATAAAAGTTTAGTTTAACGTTCTACTGTCAGAATATATTACTATTTAGCAGTCTTAAGACTCAATGCTGCTACTGCTAATAAATATTAATACATCTTTATTTTTAAAGGAATAATCACATCTGTTTTCTTTTTAATTTTAACAGTAAACCTCTGTTGTGCAGCACTTTGTTTGCCAAAAAAATAAAAGGGTTTAATTTTCATTTGATTAGGATAAATTAAATTAATGTTTTATGCCTTCATCTGATTACCAGAAAAATTAAGAACATTTTATAGGGCCCTATTATGGTTTAAAAAAGGACCCTATACGGAGAAAAAAAAGAATAGGTTTAAAATACAGGCATGTGGTTCTTAATTTCTTTTTATTAATTGGCCATTTGTAAACGGATGTTTACTGTTCATTTTTTTAGAAATATCAATAACATTTGTATTAAAACTATTTACTGAATGTAATAAAAAAAAATAGAGAATCGAAATCGAAAGGGTTTAAAAGAGTGACCATTAGTTCCACAAACACAGTATTGATATTCTGTAGTGGTGTAGGAAAAAAGTAGCGCTGGTGTTGGATCGGTATTGGCCAATTCTTAGAATTTGGAATACTCTGTAATCTTACACCTGCAAAATAACTCAAAAAGATTAAAAGATAACATCATAATTATTTACTGAACCCTTAAATTAAGCAATTATATAATGAAAGCCATAAAAACAGACAATTAATCGCGATAATCGGCATAATCGGCAAAGCCCTAAAACAGACAATTAATCGCAATTGCAAAGTAGTGATTATTCTTGATGCTGTAAAGAATAGTGTTAACCATATTCATGCTTGCCATAGGCTATAAAGGATAGTTCACTCAACAACATGAGGGTCAATAAATAATGGCTGAATTTCTGTTTTTGTGAGAACTATCACTTTAAGTTTGCTGCAGCAACTTGACTCAAAAAGTCTGAATGCATTATGATTTCTCTCAGCTTGACGCCTCTTAAGATTTTCTTCACGGCTACTACTGAGCTATATTGAACCAGCAAAGACCGTCTCTCTTACTCGACAATTTAACCTTAGTTCCTTTAGTTTAACGTTGCACCTGCACTGATTTATAAGTTTCATAAATGTCTGACATTAGAGAAGCCCAGTGGACATTCATGGATTATATGGTGCAGACTAGCAAGATGATGGTGGTATTAAACTTTAATAACAACATTTTAAAGGCACTGGATAAATATTTGGCTGCGTTCCTGTAACTAGCACATCTAGAATGAGAGATGTGTGAAGACATTTGGCCAGTGGTTGTGGTTGCTACATCTGTTTGCTAAAGATAAGCTGTCTTTCTCCAGGCCTGATCCCCACCCGAGGGGAGCCACACAGCAGCCTGACTCACTGCAGGAGCAAGATGAGGAGATCTTGGGTTCAGATGATGAGGAACAAGAGGATCCTAATGACTACTGCAAGGGTAGGAGTCCTGTGATCATAGTACAGGGAGAGATTCTTGTGTACAGTGAAAGAGTATGCATTGTAAAGAGGATCCAACGTTATTTTTTGGCCATTTGGGCAGAGCGATTAATCAAAGTAAAATCAACATCACAATGCCCATGATTATTAAATTGCAGAGGCTGAGATTTAATTTAATATATGCACTGCACATTTCGGAGTGAAGCGCAGCACTTATCTTTTTGCTAGGGATGGGCATTTTTCAAAAATATTGCGTTCGAATATTTGAGCTCATAAAAAAAAATATTTGTTTATTTAAATTACGATTAATGAGAAAGACGTTATTTTTTTTTCATCAAACATAATTTTTGTCTCAATTTCTGAACAATCTTATCAGGCTGTATTCACAACAAACTTAAAAATATCCCGGGTTTTTTTCCCGTTTAAAAACATTAAACAATAAGTGCAAAAAAAAAAAACATGTACATCAATATGATCAGGTGAAAGTCGACTCCTTATGCCGTGTGTCCACCAAAGCGTTTTTAGCCAGCTTTTCTGAAAATGCCTGCGAGCGTTTCGGAGGCGATTTGTTTGTTGTTATACAGAATAGCCGCTGAAGTAATGTGGCAGATGCATCACAAATGAAATGTTGCGTGCATTATTTTCATATCAATATTTACTTCTCCATTGTCGTTGTACAAGTAGGATGTGACCGTTGGTCAGTGTGGTATTTGCCCCGCCCCTCCTCCACTGTTATTGGACGGCTGACTGAAAAAAAGCGCTTTGGTGGATACATGGCCTTAGTCTGTTAACAATAAAGCCAGCTGCAGAGAAAATGAGTGGTCTTCTCGGCTCGCTCGGGGTACATCTGCGCCTACCTGCAGTAGTGAATGCAGTGATGTGTCGCTGTTTTTCTTCATTCGACTGGTCGTGACGTTCCGGTGTTTGTATATGATTTCTCATTTTAGTGATAACTCGGTTTCACTTGACAAAGTTTGCATGCTCAGGATTTATCAGGGATTCACTGCATTAACGGCCAGCAACATTTTAGCGAAATTGGAATAGTGTTTTTAATTTTTCGAATAATTATTGCAGATATTCGACTATTCGTGCAACCCCTACATTTTTCGTCCACACAAACTCCATCTCTACGTCTACTGAGTTTGAGTGGCTCATAATAACGGGCATTTGGGAACACCGTGTGAGCCAACCCATTTCAAAAGATTTGCAATGAGAAGCATCTATAAACCTGTTGCCAACAAATGAGGAACTTGATCCCTGAGTTTTTTTTGACAAAAAATAAAAGCATGTTGGTTTAATATTTGGAGGAATTTAAGACTAGGGCTGTTGCTAAAGATTATTTTGGTAATCGAGCAATCTGTCGATTATTCTGACGATTAATCGGATAATTGTGATGACTTTTTTTGTGGTAATAAAAATAGACCTAAGCAAAGAATAGCTTTTAAAATTACTTAAAATACATGTATGATAGCAATGAGGCAATAATAATTAGTTCAACTAAAGTATCAAAAGCAAGTAATCATATGATTTTATTGAACAAAACTGTTAAAATACATAATGTATTATAAACAATAGAGCAAATGTACATTACACATAACAAATGTCAGCAGAGGGCGCCAACGGCCTGACGATTTTTTTTACACTTTACTGTGCGATCTAATCCTTGTTTAATATTGACCAAGCATCATTTGATTCAAATGTCCACTTAATCTTTAATATTTGCCCATTTCTTTACAGCAGAAATGCTACAGCCACTGTAATTTCTTGAATGTGTGGACAGTGGAAATCAAAACTCAGAGCGAGGGTTTAAACTTTTATTTTGAAATCGCAATGAACATTTAGCATATTGAGAAAGATGGATTCTCCTGTGTTTGTGTAGGTTTATAAATTATTTAATAAATGATGATAACCTTACTAAACTGATGAAATGGTGCACGTTGCGTTCCCAGGTGAACGTTATAATAAACCCAAACACACAACAAGCAGAGGTGGAGTTTGAGACGCTCGACACGTGTAAATGATAAGTTTGCGCGGAGCAGCATTTACTGTGAACGGAGTCACTCTGACACGCACGTACGTAACCTACACGCATGTAAACAATTAAAGCGTATATATTAAACCTGCATCGCATATATTTATTTAATTGAATCATAGCGCTTGTGAATTCACAATAGCATTATGCTTTATTATGATTTTTAAATGAGTTTAACATATCATGCGGCCTTGGAAAACGGTCTAATAGTGCGTTTTATGGATTCTCGTCTGTGAAATGCAACACTTCCGGTATTTAGCCGATTACTGGATGCGGGCAAAATGAAATCAAGGATTTTGAAAAATCGAATACTCGAGTAGAATTGAGGAATTGTTGCAGCCCTATTTAAGACATATTAGTATCATTATAAATCATTAAATTGTTTTTTTTAATTCCATTTAGATAAAAAATTGTATCCTTTCAGTGACACTGTTTATTGTACAGGTCTCCTTTGGTTTTATGAGGGATCCACAGGTGTTTTTCTAGTGCACTCCATATTTGCTTCTGTACAGGATGCAGTTTTCAGCTGCCGCTCAATCTCTCGATCCACAGCTGTGAGAGTAGGCGCTTTGCCCAGATTCAGCCCAGCTCGCTCTATTTGTGAAGTGCAGCTCGTAATGAGCTGGAGCTCTTGGCTTGTGTTCCCAGAGGACCTGTACTTTTGTTCTCCATCATTTCCCTTTAACATACGCTGTCAGATGTGTGTATGGTGTTTGAAGTTCTCGGCCACCATCTGCTGAAGTGGATTATCAAGTCCAACTACCAGGGCCTGCCGCTGCCGTGTGTCAAGAGCATTATTCGACAGGTGTGTGTTTTCTGCACATAATAATTTGATGTGGTTTACTGCAGGTCAAACCGAAATTTTCTCTGTGTAGGTTTTGCAAGGCCTGGACTACCTGCACACCAAGTGTAAGATCATTCACACTGATATAAAGCCAGAGAACATCTTGATGGACGTGAATGAGGCGTACGTCAAAAGACTGGCTGCGGAGGCCACGGAGTGGCAGAAATCAGGAGCTCCACCACCTTCTGGATCCGCAGGTGAGCGCTGCTCTCAGAACATTTAGATTGTTTAGGGATTATTAACAGATGGGACAAAACTTCTAATATGTCACAATTATTATTAATGTTATTATTAAAGGTGCCATAGAATGGAAAACTGTATTTACCTTGGCAAAGTTGAATAATAAGAATTCTGTACATGGAAATGACATACCGTGAGCCTCAAACACCATTGTTTCCTCCTCCTTGTGTAAATCTCGACCACTGAAAAAGGCGAATCCCAACATAACACCGACTGTGACGTTACAGTCGGGATCATTAATGTTTACTCGCCCCCAACATTTGCATAACGTACACCAGCCCATGTTCTAGGCCAGCCGGACCTGCACAGCCGATTTGTTGCCAGTTATTGCTATTAAAACAATAAAAAAACGATAGATAAAATAAACCGAAATTATTTAAAATCTTTTGCAATTAAAGTGCCCCTGTTATGGATTTTTGAAAATTACCTTTCGCGCAGTGTGTAACACAGCTCTAAGTGAATGAAAATATCCTGCAAAGTTTTAAATCTGAAAGTGCACTGACTATAAAGTTGTCTCTCAAAAGAAAGAGTTGACTCTGAATCATTGAAACGAGTAGTTTTTAAAACGAATCCCAAGCCGTTTCACGTTGACGTCAACATGAACATTAGCATATTGCCCGCCCACTTGTTGGTCTTTTCGCGTTGGTCTGAATTAGAGACCTGCGCGGGACGGATTTTTCAAAAATCCAATTCAAAAAATATCTTATCTGGTCCTGCTCCCACCCGCGACATTCATGTTTTGTCCCGCTCCCGCCCGCATAAAAGTAATCTATATAGATTTTTTTTCAGCACATCAAAGAAATTTACATCAAATTGTTCTGTAACACCTCCTAAGCTCTACAACATCCCAGCATAAATACTTCTGATAAAATATTTGTTATTTAGGCTAAGTATCAACATTCACAAACCAGTGTTATTTTAACAGAAAAGTGAGCATGGGCTGCTGCGTGCATGGTTTGGCATGGCAGAATGTGAGCAGCGCTTCCTTTATTATCACTAAAAGCTGACATCTCAGTTCATCGCGATCTCATAAAGCTCTGTTATAACACAATGAACATATGCACAATGAATATTTCACAATGTCTACACTTCGTGTGTTAAAATGAGACAATTCGTGAGCACGCAATTTCAGCATTGTGGTGAGTAGATTCTAACTTAATCACCTCTGGTTGGCCATTGCGTTCCAGAAATCAACAGCTCAGTCTATGATTGGCTACATTGCGCAACCCTTTAATCACGTGTTATAAATAGAAACTCTGCCTAGCTTGCACGTGTTAATCATTGTAATGTTATTAGTTGTTCTTTTTGCTTTTGTGCGATGCATAAATAACAATTTATATGTTTTAGACATTTTATATGTAGATAATTTCTATTTTGCTAATCATTTTATTCTCCCGCATCCCGCACACACTTGAGTCTCTTCCCACCCGCGCTCGCCCATCAAGAGTTGTCCCGTGCTGCACCCTGTTGCGTTGGGTCCCGCGGGAGTGCAGGTCTCTAGTCTGAATGAAAATGCTAATTTATTCTTTGGCACTAGGTGCCGCTTTTGGAGTGTAAAATAGCAGTTTCCCCGGTAACACTGTACAAAGCAGCACTGCGCTCACAAACGCTGCTTTTATCAGGCATTACAGGCATGATGAAAAGAAAATGAGATCAGTCGGACCAATCGCTGCAGATTAGAGTCACGCAAAAGAGGGGTTTGGAAAAATGAATCGTTGAGCGAATCATTGAGGAAATAAGGTAAAAATAAATGCATATTATAAAATAATGAAAGTGTTTTTTGACCTTGCATGCATGTCAACCTGTTGTTGGGGACTCCCAAAACCAAAATATGAACCTTTCATTACCCATAATAGGGTCACTTTAAGATAAGATAAAGATATCACTGACCCTAAACTGCAACGTCCTAATTTATTAACTTTCTAAAGTGTCAAAAAAAGTGGAAAAGACGAGTCCAAAAACGCTTATAACAGCTGGATCTGCCAACACAGAAGCTGCGTCCTTGCCCTCACTCACAACTCTCTCTCAAGCCTCATTCACTCCACCAGCGTCTCGCAGCGATCACGTTCATACCACAGACGCTAAACATTCTTGCAAAATCTCTCAAAATCTGTATCTTCGTCTGATACAGGTTCTAACATATAAGGTTGGATGCCTAATCTCTCCATCGTTCATGCCGGATAGTAGAGATCTGTTTGCTGTGTGAGCTACTGAAATGAGCTGTGCTGTGAAACAGCCAGTCAGAGCAGAGCTCAACATTATTCATGACCCTTCCAAATAAGGTAATAACAGACCATTTCATTTTAGGGACAAATCCTAGGGTTGTAATTGGACATGTAAAACCATTTCTGGAGAATTTTTGCCCTTACCTAAGCCACATACCTTCTATGTAGATATTAGAGAACAATTTAAAATATTGTATCAATGCATTCTATGGCACCTTTAAAGGAACGGTTCATTAAAAAATTAAAATTTGCTGAAAATGTACTCGCCCTCAGGCCATACAAGATGTAGATGAGTTTTTTCTTCAGAACAGATTTGGAGAAATTTAGCATTACATTACTTGCTTACCAATGGGTCCTATACAGTGAATGGGTGCCATCAGAATGAGAGTCTAAACAGCTGAAAAAAACATCACAATGCAATTTAAAAAAAAAATTTTTGTAATGCATATCAAATCGGCTACTAAATATTGTTATATCGAATCGGTAGGTCTATGTTGAATATAATCTTTAATAGACAGCAGAGAGCTTTATAATCTACAATAGAACTGGCCAGTTATTACAGGGTGTCCGCGGGGTCTTGAAAAGTATTAAAAGTTGATAAATCAATTTAGAGAAAATTAAGGCCCTTAAAAAGTATTAAAGTCTTAAATTACATTTTCCAAGGTATTACATTTTGTCATCTTTTCGTTATGCATATTTGTTGAATAGTGGGGTTCTGTGTATTTTATTTATGAAATCCCGCAAGATTTGACGTCATCTGTTATGGCGCTCACTGACGGACTGCGCCGCTGCGTGATAGCGCAGGGCTTGTTGATACCGCTCTCGCTGAATTTCTGACCATTATCGCATGCTCCCATCCGCTCCCATGATTTTTGTGTCCGCTCCTGCAAACATTCTAATATTGTATATCATTTTCGTGCATCAGGGCGCCGCTATCAATATGTGGGGTATTTAAATCCCCTTTGAATGAGCGCTCTCAGTCGTAGTTCATTTTCACTTTCGATTTCGCGATCGTGTGCGCACTGTGTAAAAGGGAGCACATCCTACGATAAAAGATATTTGTCAATGAGCTCGGGATCTGTTGAGGAGCAAATCCTTCAACATCTTGTCAGTTATCTCTCCTTACTTTTGAACCGTGATTAGTCAAATCTGACTTCTGCAGCTCGTGTTGGATGCAGGGTTGTTTGTTTTTTTTGCACGAAATTGGGCTGCTTTTAAACTGTTGCCATGGGTTGATTTTCCCCAGTGGGTTAAATGTTTGAAATACTGCATAAATTACATTTGGTTGAAATGTTTGTACTGAAACATTTTGCAGTCTACCTGTAATAAAACTGTGCTAAATGTTTTGGGCCACACTAGTAGGAAGCATTTAAGCGGTGTGTATGATAAATGTGCATAACAGTGACTGTAAAATATGTATTTTAGGGATGGAAATGACATTTTTATATTTGGGACATGGTAATTGCGCTACTTAGGGCTGTTTTTTTTTTTTTACTGGCATGGGCTTGGGATGCACAATAAAAACGATGTAATAGTTGTGATCAATATTTTCCCTTCCATGATCTTTCAGACATGATCAGGTGCAGTACTGACACTGTCAAGTCTGCATCAAATCAAGCTCTCCGTAATCACAGGTAAACTGTCTGATCAGTCAGATGTTTGTCATGAGAAGT